TATATGTATATACACATATATTACCTTCATTTTGTTGTTCGCTTGGCAGAGATTGGCATATGCACCTATAACCCATTTCCTCCTCTTCCTGCGCATGTAGGTAGAATGAATCTCCAATCACCTGTCACTTATAGGTGACCATGTTCCTAAGTTGTAGCCAAAGGAATGCGGGTGAAAGTGGTGGCTCCAATCAGGGCTGGTCCTTGTGGGCTTGTGCAACACTCTTCTCGTGTACGTATCAAGCAGGCAGGTGGGCGTGCAAGTCTGAACTCAGTATCTGTCTTTTAACCCTTTACCATAGTTAGTTTGTTCACAATTCTTTTCTATATTCTGCATAATCTAGTTCTGACCTGTTGGTTAATGAGTTTCCTCCTCAGGAGTATCTAAACATCTACTTAATTCATCCATTGACTTTTTAATTTCTAGAACCTTATTTGGCTTTTCAAGAAGTTCTACTTGGTTCTTTTTCAAATATGCTCTTTCTGTTCTCACAGTTTATTTTATTATAATTTATATTCCTAAAGGAAATAAATAAAGCATACCTTTTAACGATATTATTTCCTTTAAACTTTTAATGACATTATGAATGTTTTACAGCATTTTCAGATGCCCATAGCTCAGATTCTTGAGATGCTGATTTTCCTCTTGTGTTAGTTTACTCCTCTTCACACTGAGTCATTATGTCTTACGGTTCAAATGTCATTTTTGAGCTAGTGTTTCCCTGAGATCGATTTTTCTGTGGGCCATGCACTTGGCCTCTTGAGTCATTTCGAGTTTGTTTGTTCCATGTATTCCAAAGGTTTCACTTGGTGATTATTTTAGTGCCTCTATATCAGCGATTGCCCAATTCCTTGAGTTCTGATGTTTTTTTTTTTTTTTTTTTATGAGAGTAATTTGTATATGCTCTGTCCTGGGCAGAAGTAAGATTGCCTTTCACTTGAGCTTAATATTAAATCTCCGGAACTAACATGAACATCAAAATACAACCCCTAATTGTTAGAGCTTATTTCTTTGCCTTATTCCTTACTTCTGTAGGTTGTAATGACAATTATAGCAAATAAAAAGTGGGGGGGGGTGTTGGTTAAGTTCCCTGTAACATAGGAATTATTAGTACAATAAATCTTGTTATTTTAATATGTCTATTAGGCACTGAATGTAAGTATCAAGTAGATAGTTGGATGTAGAAATCTGCACCTCAGTATTCAACTACATATATAATCCCCATTAAATAGAAAACGCTGTTGAGAGTTCAAGTTAAAGACAGGGCAGGCCAGCAATGTTTGCCTGTCTAGAAGCCATTAGCAACCTGACAAGAACAGTTTTTCTGGAATCACTTGAAGAAGCAGTAAAGAGAATGAAAAAGTAATTGCTCATGGAGAAGTGGGTAAAACTACTACAGAAAACTCCTCTAGAAAGTTTTACTGTGAAGGGGAATAGAGATACATCTTGAATTGGGCATAGAATCAAAAGAGGTCTCTGAGGGTTGTTTTTTTTTTTTTTCCGATGCGAAGTTCGTGGGTAAGTTTCATGATAAGTGTCCCCCTAAGCCTTCTCAATGCCATCATGTCTGCCTTATGTTACCTTCGAGTGTGCCGCCATCGCCCGCACGCTTGCGCTCGCTAAACTCTACTTCAATTATTCACCCAGTTGCCTGCATCTATGATCTCTGATGGCAGAAGCCAGGACTGGTTCCTCACACTTACCGTCAGCATTTGCACTGTTATCAGAATGTGTTTTATCAAATCCCTTTAGCAGGCAGGTTTGTTTAAGGGTGGAGACAAAGAGTGTGTACTGTTCCCCTAATGCTATGGTACACGCCCTCTGGAAATTGTAAATAAGTAGTACATAGAATGAAGTTCTATTTACTCAATACAGAACTTAAAAAACATTTTGACTATTTACTATATACGTTCCTTTTGGAGTCCTTCCAGTTATTGGATGTATGCAGGCATTAATTAGAGCACAGGTAGATAGTTTGTTCTTGTGGTAATAACAATAATAATTAGTTCTATATGAAACAAATATACATGATTTGTTATATACATATATATTAATACATAGATATATTCACACTTAGATACTTTACTATGCAATACAGCCCTTTGAGATAGGTGCTGTTATTTATTACATTTAATATCACAGAAAAAAAATCTTTACTATCATGGATGTGGAGAGTTCAGCCGGGGTGAAATGATGAAATGTGTATTGTGAGATTAGAACCTCACTTACTGTAGCTGAGCCTAGCCTATCTAGGTAACCTTAGGGTATTCTGTTAGTCACCTCGCATTATAATATATGTCTAAATCAGGACTTAGTCCCAGAGAGCAGCATTAAACATACATGTGCACACACACAAGGACTCACTGCCTTTGAGCAAACCCGTCACAGATATTATTAGTGCGCATGCACAGGCACATTTGCTGTGCTCATTTCCACAGTATACCAGCCTCCTCCTCACTTCTGGTCTCTGCATGGGCTTGTCCTTTTTCCTAGAGAGACTTTCTCTCAATCTCTTCTCCCCATATAGTAATTTTGACTGAAATCTCCAAGTTCAGATTCAATGTTCCTTTCTCTTGGAAATGCTGCCATGTTGATAGCTACTTTCTGTATCTCTTCTTGAGCATACATCTAACATATTCCTTCTAAGACAAGCACCTAATTTGGGGGGTTTCATTTTTGTCTGCAAACAAGCCTAGAGGTGGATTTTATATTTATCTTTGGCACTTATAACAGAATCAAGTATGTAGCTGGTTGTCTATTAATATTTGTTGAATGGAAGGGAGGGAGGGAGGGAGCGGGGGGAAGAGGAGGACGGGGGCAGGGGGAATGGAGAGAAGGAATAAAGGAAACATGGAGAAATGGTACCTTGAAATGGTTGCATAAATAGGTGGAAATACACAGATTATGTAAAAGATAATTTTAAAATAATACTGTGACTCATTGTTTACATCTAGGTTATCAAGAAAGCGTCTCAAAAGAAATCATATTTAAACTAGTACCTGAAATATAATTAGAAAAAATTGAACTTACAGAAATAACAGAGTACTTTGTAAAATTCCCTGTATGCCATTTTGTTTTCCTCCAAATGTGCATTTAAACTTGCTTGATTCATTTTTACCAGCCTTTCATTATGTCACTTTCAGTTATAAGAAAATGATTTGGTTCTGTCAGCTTGCCAGGATCAAAATCATTTAAGCCTCAGGACTTGATGTATCAGCTACAAAATTAATTCTAGGTGGAAAGCAATATCCTTACTTGCAAGAGCACAAACTAAGGCGTGAGTTAATAAGCCATACACAAAATTTAAATCCTGCCTCCTTTCCTTTATACCACTAGAAAGTCAATCTGTTTGAGAAACTAATGTTGTCCTATCAAAAATATCTGTATACACCCATACTATATGATTATTTTTATATCAAGATAGACTATTAGTATTCATGTATGCTTATAAAGGCGTGTGAATTATATTTACTGTCCAGCTGTATTACTTTAGATCTTTAGACTTACAGAAGATTACACACTGACAAAGAATCTGAAGTACTGTATATTTCTACATGTTTTTCATTGAGATTTTTCTCCGCTAAAATAAAACATAAATATTCCACATCATTGTTTTTCTGCCATTAAAATGTATTAATATAAGCCTGCTCTCAGAGTCCATGGGGCCCACTCACCTAATTCCCTTTGCAAAGGCAGATTGTTAACTCTTCAGGTGAACATCCATTTGGATGTCTTCTCACAGGACATCTGGAAGCAAGTTCCAGGGGAAACCGAGGTTTCAGAAATCAGCCTCAGTTTCCCCTGGAACTTGCTTTACCATAGTGCGTAGACTGTCATCTAGTTTACAGAGTGTGCCCCGATATTTCTGGAACCCGCCCGGCACCGCAGGTAGTTATGACAATATTATCGACTATATTCCCATGCTGTGAACATCCCTGGGGCTGTTCTGTGACTACCCATCTGTACCTTTCAATCCCTTCGCCTTTTCACCCAGTCCCCTAACCCCGCTCCCCTCTGGCAACCACCCCCAGTCTTTGCTCTGTGTCCATGAATCCACTCAGTTTTCCGCAGAAGCTGCACCAATTGACATTCCCACCAACAGACCGCATGGGTTCCCCCTTCTCCACCCCCTCACCATGGCTTGCTATTTCTGGTCTTTTCAGTAAGTCATTCAAACAGGTGTAAGTGGTACCTCATTGGGTACACATTTGCATTTTTCAGGAAATTAAAGGAATACCCTTGGATTTCCTTACAGTAGTTTACATATTCATAATATATATAATTATGTGTATATATATATATATGTTATGAGGATCTAGAGGTTATTTTTTCATAGTTTCAATAAAGATGTTTTCTACGGCAGTAAATTTGCACTGAAAATGTTAACTAAAAATGAGAGGCAACATTAATAATCTGAGGCCAATTAATGTAACCCGTTAATTCATATCTTGGGCAGTGTTAGTTATAACAGGACAGGTTGAAGAGCCAGCCGCTGCACGATGAACGCCCTGCTTCTTCGCCGGGCGGGCCACTGCCTCCTGGCCTCTCCGCCGCCCACAGGCGGTTTCAGGAGGAGGCCCAGAAACGATTAAAAGCAACTAGTCTGCTAATTTGGAAAACTTTTGCTGATTTAACAAGTAAACGCATCTCGCATTTATTTTTACTACATTTCATCCTGTACTTATAGTTATGTGATTTCCTCCTTTGGAAAGCGTACGTAAAATCTAAATTTGCATAACATGGGAAATGCATCGTTTACTCAAGAACATGGGAGTTAGTTGCATTGTCTTTGCCACTTCAGCCACTCACAAATACCCCTTCCACGTGTAGTTATATGCCTATCATGACGTTTAATTGCAGACATGCAGAATTCCAGAAAAAAAGGCGCATCATCTGAATTCTTCCTAAAGAGCTTTTCTCCTTTGTCAAAAGAAGGTGCTCTTCTTCTGCCTTTATCGGTGTAAATTACAAACAATGGAATCCCTGTTTTCTTTTGAAAGGAACTGTTGGACCTTCAACATGCCTACCAGACACTCAGCAGACAATACCAGGCGAAAATAGCAGAGCTGACTCGTGCAAACCACCGTGCGGACCAGAATGCAGCCGAAGGAAAGAAACTGAAATGTCAAGTGGAAGAACTAAGAGAGAGACTCAACCAGAAAGAAGATAAGGTACCTTCTAAGTCAACATATGCTAGATAGCTCCAAAATTGCTTGTTAGAGCACTTATAAAGCATTTTCTTCTTTACTAATATAGGGCTTTAATTGGGATAAATAGCTTGCCATTGTAAACACCAGAATAGATTAAAAATGTAACCGTAAGGAAAGAAGATATTACCTGAACAATGTGCTCATCTTTGTGGTGCTAACTGTGTATTTTTTATGTATGCTCTAGAGCATCTCTCAAAAGTTTAGGAATAGCCAAAGGAAAACAAATGCATCACTGAGTTAGGAATTAGACCAAGTTCACTGTACACACATCAAAAAGACAGTGTGCAAACTGGGAGCACACAGACCAAAGCATGGATTTGACTTGGGGCATTGGGTTCTCAAGCAGCTTGTACAGTGAGGAGGCACTGACTGTTGTTCCTTACAGTCATTGGTTACAGTGTGGGGGTTTCCAGTGGTTTCCTCACGTTGATGTGGGGAAACGGTTCACGTTCTGCCTGTGACTTCCAGAGGCACGAGCAAGAAATGACCAAGGTGTGAGTTGGTCTTGCAAAATAAGCTAAAAAAAACTGTTTGTGTGCGACTATCCTGGTTCTGTCTGCTCAGGGAAACTTTAAGGTTGGTCTTCTTTAGTTTTGATTTTAACAAGTCAAGTATATTTCAGCACAGGTGCGTGTGTATGCATGTTCATGTGTGTGTTTACCTGGGGCACAGTGTCACTGGAGCTTGGGTTTTAAGCTTTCAGCCTATGTAGCAGAGAAATATTGCATTTTGTAGTTCTCATGATAATATATTACAAGACACGTGATATATATTTTCTGCAGCGCTCTCTGGTGTTTAAGAGAGCAGGGCCATCTTGTGTTGCTCTGTAAGGTCAGCTCACCGATGGTTTATGGGACATTGAGGTGACCTCAGTGTGATGTCCTCCAAGCATACGTGCCAAAGACAGGTGATTTCAGCTGTGATTACAGACAGTAAAAGATTTTTTGGAATGCACCACAGCCCCGACTGACGGTGTGATTGTGAGTCCCTGCATGCCCGCGGTTCCTGCAGGTGGGTTCTAGTCCCTACGCCTGCTCCCGGGGTGAAACAGATAAACAAACAGACCACTCCGGTAGTTCCCTGCTTGGAAAGGATGTCTCACGAGAATGCCACGAGAATGCCAAATAGTTGGAAATTTAACAAATAAAAAAAAATGAATTACTCTTGCAAGGGGCAACTAAATAACAGAACACTTTCCACATTTGCTGGGTTAATTTCTAACCAAAAGTATTCCAGCCTAACGAACTAGGTTTTCTTCCCTAATAGCGTTACAGGGAAACAGAATTTTTTGCCTAGCGATGCTCATATGTTGTTTTTTGCCCCTATGAGCACTGACTTTGGGTGGGCATTTCCTTCTCAATGTGGTTCCTTTTATGAAGATATACATGTGCTTTTTAATTGCAGCATGTATAGTGGGCAGGACTGTAGACCAGTGGGTCAGAAGTGGAGTCTGGCAGGAAGGCTCGGGGGAATGGTTCTAGGTTTTTGATATTATTCCTATGAATGGTTTTAATGTGCAAGTATTTGTTGGACGTGATGATAAATAAACATCTGTGTTAGTTAATATAAGCTTTAAAGATTGCTTGGGATTGAACCAGTGGCAAGAAAATGATAAAATTTTGTAGGGCTCAAGGGTGAATGAAGAAGCATTAGTTCCCGAACAGTGGAATCAGCAGTCTGACCATGTAGTTTTTAAAAATGGCTGTGATCTTAAAGATGATCTATTTGCACCTCTGTCCAGCCAAAGTATTCTTCCCAAATCATCACGTCAGGCTTGGCCATGTGACCAATGCCTTATGAGCAGAAGCTGTGTGTATCACTTACTCTTGGGGGCTTTGGGGGCCCATCCAGGGCTCTGGGATATCTCTTTTCCAAAAGCTGACTGGTGTAGTCGTTAAAACAACAAAAAGATTTTAAATTATATGAAACTGGCTCCAGTGCCAGAATGAGAGGCTGAGAAGATTTACTAGAGTCTAGAATGATGGCCAACCATTTTATGGCCTTGGAATGTTTGGTATATTATATTCAATAGTTTCCTGTAATACCTTGAAAGACAGACAGTGTACCAAATGAGCATGTGGTTTTAGGTGAATAGGTATGCATCTGGCATTTCCTGTCTGCTATTGGTGCATTTGGCCAGCATCTAAAAAAAGAGATGAGCTCAGACAAGTACTGCTGAGTTTTCAAAGTGATATGTAGGGTGATATAGAAATGTAAGTAGTTTTGTGACTTCCAGGGTCTGATCTTCATTTTCAAATGGTAAAATATAAAACTAAGAATGCCGTTGAACATAAAGGTCAATTGTAGTTGAGCTTTCTGGCAAGGACCTGGTCAATGGTGTGGCCACCAAGCCCATTACTAAAACTCTCCATCTGTTAAGGTCTTCCCCTGGAAATTCTTTAAGAGGAGCAAAAGGGCACCAGGGATAAGAAAATGAGATTGTGCCCTTACCAGAACATCTCATAAATTCAAGAGAATTGTAAGTAACTCAGTGACAGGGGAATGTCTCCCAAAGAATTGCGGATACGACAGTGGACCTGTGGAATTTACTGGAATCAAATAGAAAAGTTTGAAAGAGATACTGGCAAATTTTTGTGAAAGTTATGCTGGGATAAAAACTACTGATTCCTCAAGATTTGAAAGAATTCCATTTCTCCAAACTTCCATGGGCAGTTATTTGGGATCAAGAGGATGTGCTGATAATATAGCATGTGAGTGAGTGTGTATGTTTTACTATTTGCAGCCCTTTTGTGTGGGAGGGACATTGTCCCAAGCACGAACAGTGGGCATGGTCCTGTGACCTATTTGGCAAATGAAATTTGTGCTGTTTTCCAGTAGAAGCTTTTAGAACATAGTTCCATAGGGAGAAGTATTTGGATAGATTTCATATCTGAAGGCTAGAAATAGCTGCTCAGAAATATACACTCAACGCTCAAGCTATTTTGATGTCCTTCACCTTCACATTGAATCAGTTCATCACCGGAGATGACTGACCCGAAGCGTTGTAATCTGTGTGGGTTCTGTAATCTGGGTCATGTGGCTGGTGCTGTCTGATCTGCAGGTTTTCTCTGATGAAGGTCGTCGCCGTTTTGGGTGGCTGGGAATGAAATATTCTTCATGGAAATAAGGTTTTGCATTATATGGTGTCAGCATTTCCGCAATTTGACGTATCGTCAGGAAGCAAGGAAAATTCTGCTGAGCTTTTTAATTTCATAGGAGCAAATTCTTCAAATTGCTATTAGTTAAAATTAATGTTTAATCACAACTTGCATATACAAAGTTCCTATCTCCCTCAAGTCAAGAGATTTTAGATAAATGAAAATGAGATATTAATCCTCAACACTGTAGAAAGAATAGATATTTTGGGTCCATAAGAAAACCCAGGGTCTCATTAAAGAAGCAAATTCAAAATTTTCTGTCTTAGATGAGTTACTTTTCTTTTATTTGACGTATACTTGTTAGCAGTTAAACATTCTTTTCTCATCATTTCATTGAAGTCTTTCTGGGAATGTATATTACATTATATAATGTAATTTAATTGGAATTTCATTACCATAATGTAGGACCCATTACATAAATATCCACATTAAAATACCAAAATAAGTGACCACTTCACTAAATATGGTGCACAGAACAGTCTAATGGATAATATGATAATGCAATAAGCAAAATTGTTAGAGGTGGAACAGATGCAAAGTAAACTCCTAAGTTTGTCTCTAGTATATAAAAAACAAGGAGCACAATATAAATAAATCATTACTAAGACATGCGGGGGCTCTGCATCATAGAACTAGTATCAGGGAGGCTAAGGACAAAATGAGGCAAGGTTTGCTCAAGAATCTTCTACATTTTGTAAAACAATGTTACATCACCTAAGAAGGAAAAATAAAGGGAAAAAAATTAAACATCATCCCGCCACAGAATCATATCACTTTAGTGGACTGACTTCAACTGCCTAGGCAATTTTATACATAACTGCATTGCTTGCAAATAATATATTTACTTTGTCAATTACCATAAGCAGTTTTCATGTTGTTATTGTAGTTTCATAGTTGGTATTTCAAGGGCTGGTACAATATTTGTTTTCTTGGATGTAAGTTTATTTAATCAATTAATCTTCCCTTATTGCAAGTCATTTGGATTTTCTTTTCCCAACATTATCTCTACCATGACTACTTTTATGTATAGACTAATTTTCTCATTGGAAAAAAAAAAGTTTTGTAAGTGGAACTCTTTGGTTAAATGATATGAATATAATATGGATCTTCATATATATGGTATTACTAATGTTCTGTGCTTCTCAATGATAGGTCAAACTGTGGCAATGTTGTTGCCATCAAATGCAAAATCGAACTGCATCTTAACTGATGCAAAAGGATGTTAAACATCAAATTATTTATTAATGAAATCATATAATTGGCTGAGTTGCTAACTGGATTTACTTTTAATTTTAGATCTTTCCTCTTGCCAAATCATTTTCCCTTAGTGTAATTCAATACTCACTCTTGACTTTTCTCTGTTATTTAGTCATAGCTCCCAAAAATGAAAGGACTTTCAAAGCAGTGAGCGTTTTGTGTTGAGAGAAATGTAAGTCAGGGGTTAAGTGGTGCCTAGCCTGGAGAGGCCTGTGATTCTCAAACCACGCTACAGCGGACGAGAGGTAGCATATTGTAAGGGCAAAATAAAAATCTACAGCAAGGAGAAGAGTTGCCTACCTTTAAGATGATGTTCATGTTTTAAGTAATTCAAAGATTTCTTCCTCAAACTAACATTTATTGGCCTAGGTGCTGAGTGCCAGTCTAGATATAAGATTAGAGAGAGAGATAAAACATATTCCCAGTATAAGGGTTAAAGTCTAATGTAATGATTTTCCTCACCTGACTGCACCATAGAAACACACACTTTGGAAGATTTAAAAAGTACTCATATTCATGACTCACCTCCAGAATCCGAGTCATTTG